GGGAAAGGTGTTTCTCTCCCTAAAATGATTCAGAATTTTCTTTTTCTCTTTACAGGGAACATTTTACCCTCTCCAGCAGCTGCGTTTCCCCTCCACTGCAATATCCACGAGGTTTCTGAGAATAAACACAGCACCTTGAGGGCAGCCAGGGCTGATTTCTCCCAGTGCTCAGTCTTGAGGTGTCTGGTTATTTTTCAGAAGCTCAAGAGCTGCTCAGAGCTCCCACAAAAATCCCAATCCCCCAGGGACCCACAGCCTTTCCCTGCATTTTTCCCAAAGAAAAACCCTTTTTCCACCTCCCTACTGGCATTTTGAGTTAATTTTTGAGCTCCTGGCATGCTGAGAGCTGCCCTGTGTGCACAGATCTGTTTGCAGAGCTCCAGGTTTCCCTGTCTCACTCCCTACAATCCTCAGAGCAGACTTTGCCCTCCCAAACACAGATGGGAGGGACTGGACTCCTCTTGATCTGTCAAAGCAAATATTTTACTGGAATTGAACATCTGAAAGAGACAATTGGTGTCTTTTTGCTGCTCAGGTCAGTTAGAAAAATAAAAATTAAGGAGCACAGAGCAAGGCAGATTTTGGGATCTCAGTGCTAAAATGAAAACCTCATGGATAGATAGAAATCTCATCTATTCCCTGGAAAATCTCATGGACAGATAGAAATCTCTTCTATTCCTTGGAAAATCTCATGGACAGGCAGAAATCTCACCTCTTCCCTGGAAAACCCCATGGACAGATAGAAATAGAGATTTTACCCCTGGCAGCAAAGTATCTCAAGTTTTTCTCTCATTTTAAAGGGATCTGCTGGGTGAAAAATTCCTCCTCCCAAGTGTGGGGTTACTGATGCCCCCACAGACAGAGCAATTCCTCCTTGGTGCCCTCAGGGAAGTGAAACACAAATTTCCCCCCTCTCTGAGCCCCTCAGGTATACAGAAAAAATAAAGCCACATCCCTGTTTCACTGAACAAAATCGAAAATTTGGCTTTGAGGTCTAATCTTTTTTTTTTTTTTTAATTAATTTTAAAATTATTTTTAAAATAATGAATTAATTAACAGCAATTCACCATGCAGACAATGCAAACCAAAGGAAACACGACTGAGGTTAAACCACATGTGACCAACACATTTTTCTTCCCTAAGAATCACAATATTTCTAAACCACAATTCCTCACTAAATTCACAAGAAGCACCTCAGGGACTTTTTTTCTTTTTCCTTTCCACCGACCTTCTGCTTTTCCACCACGAGAAGAAGAGCAAAAGCCAAACCCCAAAAGCTGAATGCTTTTAATCCTGAACTGGGGTTCTCTTCTCAATCTCACATGTACCTGGAGCAGTTTGCATTTGTCCAAAAAGCACAAAAAGCACAAAAACCAGCCCGAGGGAGGGRCAGCTCTGTCAAACCATCCCTGAGCTCAGCTCACCCCTTCCCTCCCACTCCTCCACAGGGCAGGGATGCTGATCCCAAAAAAGCACTGCTGGGATCAGGAGGACACTCAAGGCAGGAGAAGTTGGTGGCATTTTGGGGGAAAAAAATCCAGAAAAAGGAATCCAGGAGAGGGGAAAGGGAGGGTTCTCACTGGCAAAGGGGGATGCAGTGCTACAGAGACAGAAAGGCCAGTTAAAAGCAGCAAATAAAACAAATTATCTTAGAAAACTGGTGATGCCCTGGGGATTTTTGAGCACCACGAGCTCTTTGAGGATTATTCCCTATTCCAGGGGTTATTTTTTGGGTTGTGTGGGCACAGTGCCTGGCACCCAGGGCTGCTGAGCTGATGCAGAGGGCAATGTGAAGAGTGGTTGAGCTTGGTGGGGTTGATGCAAAATGAAAGTGGGGGAAAGTRAGCAAAGGAAATTGTGAGGCCTTGTGAAGAGATTCCACTGATTCATTTCTAGAGCTGCTCTCAGAGGGGAAAAGGAATGGAGGAACCCAAATYTGGTTCAGAAACTGGTCCAAATGGCAGAAAAACCCTGCCTGGAAGGAGCTGGCAAAGAAAGGAAACTCTGTCGAGGAGATGCATCAGGAAATTTTTCATGGCAATAACAYTGCCCGACTTCCTGGAGTCCGTATTTTCACACTGCTGCTTTTATCTGGCCACAACGCCTCAGCTAACTAGAAAACGGGTTTGTTCTGCTTTGTTTATGAAGGAAAATAATGGGACGGGGTGGGGAAAACCACAAAAAAAYGCAGCCAGTGCTTACTCTCCGGATGTACTGTCTCTCATGCTGAAAATATATGGAGGAAAAACAAGAGAACAGAAAGATAAGATAGAGAGGACATGAAAACACAAGAGACCCACAGAAGCAGAGCACAGCAAAGCATCATGCAGCAGGGGATGGAGCTCAGCAGCTGCAGGCAGAAGCAGGAAGAGCCAAAGTCACCCTCAGCCTGGTGGCAGATTTGGGTTTTGGTTTTCAGCAGCCAGGTCAGGCTCACGCTGCCACACCCCACAGGCTTTATCTGCCACTTCTGCACTGGTTTGGACACCCCCAGTTTGTGTTTTATTCTTAATGCCATTGCCCTGATCTCTCTCTGCTCCTGAGATCTCTCCCTGCCTGCGCTGCTCATCCCCAGCAAGTTCCTCACTCTGCCTCTCCCCTCGTTCAAACGTGACCACGCTGTTCCAGCAAAAATCCCACATCCCAAAACCCCAGATGGTGCTGTGTGATGGCTGCAGGAGGGCAGGAATCGTAGCTGACCATGTCCCAGCCAAAATCCCATATCCCAGCACCGCACACTCTGCTGTCTGCTGCAGGAGGGTAGGAATTGTGCCTGACCAAGACCCAGCCAAAATCCCATATCCCAGCACCCCACATTGTGATGTCTGATGGCTGTAGGGGGACAAGAATCGTGCCTGACAATGTCCAGCCAAAGTCCCACACTCCAATACCCCACACTGCACTGTGTGATGGCTGCAGGAAGGCAGGAACCGTGGCTGACCATGTCCCAGACAAAATCCCATATACCAACACGCCACATCCTCCTCTCTGATGGCTGCAGGAGGGCAGGAATTGAGCCTGACCATATTCCAGCCAAAATCCCACACTCCAACACCCCACACTGCACTGTCTGATGGCTGTAGGGGGGCAGGAACCATGGCTGACCATAATCCAGCCAAAATCCCACATCCCAAAACCCCACATCCTCCTCTCTGATCGCTGCAGGAGGGCAGGAATTGAGCCTGACCAAGTCCCAGCCAAAATCCCACTACCCAACACCCCACACTGCACTGTCTGATGGCTGTAGGGGGACAAGAATCGTGCCTGACCATATTCCAGCCAAAATCCCATATCCCAGCACCCCAGACTACACTGTCTGATGGCTGTAGGGGGACAAGAATCATGCCTGACCATGTCCCAGCCCAAATCCCATATTCCAGCACCCCACATTGCACTGTCAGATGGCTGCAGGAAGGCAGGAACCATGCCTGACCATACTCCAGCCAAAATCCCACACCCCAACACCCCATGTCCTGTCTGACAGCTGCAGGAATGGTGGCTGACCATGGGATGGCTGCTGCATTTGCCTACGGCTGCTCCAGAGCCTGGAGGGTGGTGGCCCGAGCGTGCAGAGGTGACACTGGCTGTGGGGCCAGCACTCATGCTTGCAGAAGGGAAATAACACCGAGGCAGAAGCAAAGGGGGTTGGTTGGTGTTGCTATGGGGTCAGTAGGAAATGATCCCTCTCTCACACCCTGAGAGATGCNGGGGGCAGGAACCATGGCTGACCATAATCCAGCCAAAATCCCACATCCCAAAACCCCACATCCTCCTCTCTGATCGCTGCAGGAGGGCAGGAATTGAGCCTGACCATATTCCAGCCAAAATCCCACACTCCAACACCCCACACTCCACTGTATGATGGCCCTAGGGGGACAAGAATTGTGCCTGACAATGTCCCAGCCAAAATCCCATATCCCAGCACCCCACATTGCACTGCCTGATGGCTGTAGGGGGACAATAATCCTGCCTGACCATATTCCAGCCAAAATCCCATATCCCAGCACCCTACACTGCACTGTCTGATGGCTGTAGGGGGACAATAATCACGCCTGACCATACTCCAGCCAAAATCCCACATCCCAACACCCCACATTGCACTGTCAGATGGCTGCAGGAAGGCAGGAACCATGCCTGACCATACTCCAGCCAAAATCCCATATCCCAACACCCCACTGTCCTGTCTGACAGCTGCAGGAATCGTGGCTGACCATGGGATGGCTGCTGCATTTGCCTACGGCTGCTCCAGAGCCTGGAGGGTGGTGGCCCGAGCGTGCAGAGGTGACACTGGCTGTGGGGCCAGCACTCATGCTTGCAGAAGGGAAATAACACCGAGGCAGAAGCAAAGGGGGTTGGTTGGTGTTGCTATGGGGTCAGTAGGAAATGATCCCTCTCTCACACCCTGAGAGATGCAAAGGGTTTGCRGGGTGGCAGCTCTTTGTCACCACGTGTCACCACGTGTCACCGCAGCACGGCCACCCCGTGCTGGGACAGCAGAGGTGCAGGATGTGGGAGCGTCACCAGAGTGACCAAAGGGACTGAGCTTTTGCTGTCCCCGTTTCCTTGGGGTGTCAGCCCTCCCCTGCCACTGCTGAGCCATTTCCACCTCCTCTGTCTCGGGGAAAAACCATCCCAAGTGCCCCAGTGCCACCGCAAAGCCCCTTTGCACCGTCCCCCCACCCAGCCCACAGCCACCCCGGGACAAGAGAAACTGAGTACTTACATTGTACCAACTCTGGCTTTTCTGTAAGGACAAAATAAAAGAGAAGCATTAGTCAGCACAGAGATCTTAGGATCAAAAGGGAAGAGGAACAGAGAAAGCAGCTCCAGTCTGGTTTGTATCATTAGTGAAGTGAGAGTGGGATTAAAAYAGCAGATTTCAATGGATTGCACAGTGTGGTTTGACACAGTTATCCCCAGWTATGGGAGCAAGGGACAAATCCAGCAGCAGGAGTCGGAAACAGGAAACGGTTCAGGCCGAGGTGTGCATGTCCACATGCACACACACACAGACATGCTGCCAGCCTTTCTGCAGA